GATCCTTTGCAGGCTGGCAAACGGCAGCTTTGAGGCCCATAGAAAGTCATTGCTGTGGATCTGAGGTGCCTGCTGGGGACGGTGTTTGTTGGGGAAGGTGTTTGGAATTTTGGAAGTTTGGATCCTTTGCAGGCTGGCAAACTGCAGCTTTGAGGCCCATGGAAAGTCATTGCTGTGGCCCTGGCCCCGCAAACTGCAGCTTTGAGGCCCATAGAAAGTCATTGCTGTGGCCCTGGCCCCCTGTTAAGGCAGCTTTGAAAGCATCAAGAAAGTCATTGCTGTGGATCTGAGGTGCCTGCTGGGGACGGTGTTTGGAGGGTTTGGCGGGTTTAGGAGGGTTTGGAGCGTTTGGAGGGTTTGGAGAGTTTTGGAGAGGGTTTGCGGGCTGGCAAACGGCAGCTTTGAAAGCCTAAGAAAGCCATTGCTGTGGCCTGGCCCTGGGGTGCCTGTTGGGGAAGTTGCCTTGGCCCTAGGGTGCATGTTGGGGAAGGTGTTTGGTTTGGAAGTTTGGATCCTTTGCAGGCTGGCAAACGGCAGCTTTGAGGCCCATAGAAAGTCATTGCTGTGGATCTGAGGTGCCTGCTGGGGACGGTGTTTGGAGGTTTTGGAGGGTTTGGAGCGTTTGGAGAGTTTTGGAGGGTTTGCGGGCTGGCAAACGGCAGCTTTGAAAGCCTAAGAAAGCCATTGCTGTGGCCTGGCCCTGGGGTGCCTGTTGGGGAAGTGGCCTTGGCCCTAGGGTGCATGTTGGGGAAGGTGTTTGGAATTTTGGAAGTTTGGATCCTTTGCAGGCTGGCAAACTGCAGCTTTGAGGCCCATAGAAAGTCATTGCTGTGGCCCTGGCCTCTGTTAAGGCAGCTTTGAAAGCATCAAGAAAGTCATTGCTGTGGATCTGAGGTGCCTGCTGGGGACGGTGTTTGGAGGGTTTGGCGGGTTTGGAATTTTGTTTTGGAAAGTTTGGAGCCTTTGCGGGCTAGCAAACGGCAGCTTTGAAATTCATAAAAAGTCTCATTGCTGTGGCCCTGGCCCTGGGGGTTTGGAATTTTGGAGGCGTTTGGAGCCTTTGCGGGCTGGCAAACGGCAGCTTTGAAAGCTCATAGAAAGTCATTGCTGTGGCCCTGGCCCTGGGGTGCCTGTTGGGGAAGCTGCTTAAGGGTAAAGGTTTGGAGGGTTTGGAAGAGGACAAGGTCCACACCTGCGGTGGTCCCAGGCGCCGCCCCGGCCTTGGCGAAGGCCGGGGTCGGCGGATTTTTTGCACACGCAAGCAGTGCAGAGGCACGGGGTTTTTGGATAAGGCCAGAGCGCCTTTCGCTTCTATATCGCTTCTATTTAGTAGATTCTCCAATTGAGTTTGCGACGGAGATCACACCTTGACGGTTATGTGTCACATCTTACCATCTTTGGTTGTGCAGTTGCGTTATTTTGTTACCTCGCTGTCCTGTCCTTGTGTGCCAACGACACGACCGTGTTGGGCACTGAAGAAGAAGAAGATGTTAGTTTACCAGAGGGTAACCTTTTGACAATTCAACTGCTATGGAAGCCATGGCCCATTTAGAGAGATGATTTACCGATTTGTTAAATGGTGGTTGTCCATAGCAGACCGATCCAGAGGGTACCACAAAAAGCATAGTTGGTTAACGTTGGTTAGTTAAATCCCTTTAAACCGCATTAAAATACACGTGTTTACCATTAACACTATATAAATTTTTAATACCTAAAAACATACCATTAAGATCCCATTAAAATCCATTGAATCCCATTCTATCCCATTCAATCCCATTAAGCCCGTTTCAACCACTGCCTGAGCAGGTTCTACCTCAAGCTGTCACAGCCCTTTGGCGCAGCGGTGGTTTTTTATCAATGAGGTTGATAAGGGCAACTATCCCAAAATGGACATATCATTGCTTACTTGCTAACCATCATTGATTGATGCCCATTTTTATGATTGATGATTATCAATAAATTGATGATTACTTTAGATTTATCTGTGAAGGATGATTGATGATTGAGTATGTTGTGTTTCCTGATACAGTAATATAATGGTTGTTTAACCAACCAAACAGAGATTTACCGAAAACACATAGCAAAACAATGTGTTTCAACGTGTATATAGGACACCCGATGAAACACGTGTTGTTTTTACATCAAATATAGAACGTTCCTTTAGGTTTCCCGACTCAAACACCAAAAATGTCAGGGCATACCTGGTCTCAACATGTGGTTTGACTCCCAACATGCTGGTTGTTTGAACCTCCTGAAAGCTTGGCTTGGGAACCAAATATAGCAGCTTCCAAACATTTCCAACAAGGAAATCACCTTTCCTGTTTCATGCGCTGCTTTCTCCAACAAAGCAGAAAACATCACCTCTTTGTATTTTTTTGTTTTACGGAGTTCTACCTGTACCTACTGTGAGTGCTTGCGAAATCCTGCATCACCACAAGGATTGTTTTTCAAGCTATAAATCATGGGATGTTTACCGCCACCAATCAACTGGTGATTCGGATTTCGCAACCATCCACAGTATGTCCACTAGTTCTCACCCTCCAACGTTCCAGGACGCCGTGTCTTACGACACGGTGATTGCTGCTGTACCGTGGAGCTGGTCGTGGAGCTTGCCCCTTGGGACACAGGGCTTTAGCTCCCGGATCACTAGAAACTGTGCGCTTTGCCGCATCTAATAATCCTATCAATATACATACATGCAAAATTTCACATATGTATTTGCATATATATATAATATTGCATATATACACATATACATAATATAGAGAGGGAGAAAAAAAACAAGTCAGGTCATTTTAAAAACTGTTGATTATTCTATAGTTTCTTGTGGTCACTTGACGGATGTTGGCTGGTGGACTTAGCTCTAGTCTTGGCAGTGAAGTCCTCTGTGTGGTACAAAATCGACCACCATTTCTTACTGTCCAATCCTTATTTGAAAATAACTTATTTGTTTTTATCCTCAATGCTGGTTTCTAGCCCCATGTCTGGCATAACATCTATTTATTTGAATTCTCAACATCCTGTCTTGTAGCATCCATTTTCCTCCCAGATCACAATGTCTATGAGTCAAAATGAGGTTCGATGACTAAAATGGGTTTTAGCGATTTAGCACATGGCAAAAAAAAGGCCTTAAAATCGTTGAACGTTGCGGTGACCCCCTGGTCCACGGGTCGTGGTCCACTTGAGGCATCTCCTATTGGAAGCGGCAAGAAGTCGCTTGCAGTGCTCAGAGGAGGCTATGAGCAGCGCGTGACTTGGAGGACCGAGAGGAGAGGATGTAGTTCTGAGGTGTAGACAGCTATTTTACATTATTTTGTATATTTTCTATGTATATATATATATATGTTATATATACATAATAATGACAGGTAATGTCTGTTATATAATGATACATAGATCTTATAAACAGATTATGACAGATATCTAATTATATATACACATATTTGTATGTATATCATAGAGAGAGAGAGAAAGAGAGAGAGAGAGAGAGTGAGAGACTAGATTTGATGCTCAATGAGGTAGAAAGCGTGTTTATTGTAAAGCTGGTTGATTCAATTCGTCTTATTTTTGAGTAGTTACAGGCATTTCTTCAGTCCCAAATTTGAATCCCTGCATATACAATTTCACACCAGACAAAATGAATTTTGTCTCAAAATTTAAGCTGCTGGATGTTCTGCGCACTTCAAAGAAGTCTAGCTGGCATATGAAGGTCATACACACATAATGGACCGTCTTGTACACATGCACGCGGATTTGAACAATGGGTACATGTTCAGAACGAGCAGTATTTGTTTCAAAAATCAACATATATAAATTATAATGAACATTAATGAGCATATAGAGGGACGGATGCCAATAAAGGTTTAGGCCCAAATGACCGCCAAGGGTACCATGGACATCCATGGACCTTTGGTCAATGATTCCATTCCGTAACATTTCCATTTTTTGGGATGTGCCAAATATCACAATTTCCAAATTAAATTGGTTGGTGGTTGATTATTTTGGCAATTTTCCGTGCTCATTTTTGGCTGGTGGTACAGTGATTAACATTGACTAACCTCATTTGCCGGCAACGTCCTCGTATGTTTCTGCACTAAAATGCTGGTCGCTGGGAGCTGGGCGGTCTTTCAGCAGGGAGGAGGCGGAAAACACAACATAGTTACATGATTTACTGCCTAAATTCGATACATTCAGACTCTGAAAACAACAACACACTAGAGATAGGACCAAACCCCATCAAACCCTCAAAAATATGGGAATTTGAGAATAGTCAATCAAGATCAAACATGAGCATAGAAAATGAATCACAATGACTTAGGTCGTATATGGTCGTATTAATCCATATTTCACCACCATTTCTCCTGGTCGCCCCTGAGGCTGGGGACGTGTGCGCTGGCTGCTGCTTGGTGTCAGGCGCAGAAAATGGTGGGATTAACGAGCAAACATGGAAGAATGGGAAGAATGATGTGGAAATTTGAGATTTTACAGTAGAATTTAATGGACTTGCCTTAGACTTAACATTACTTCAACTATATAAGAGGTTCGATGGTTGTTGGATGAAATTATAAGGGTTTAGACATTAGGATTGAATTGGATGACAATGGGATTCCAAAGATTTACTATTCACATGTGTTGGGAAGTAACCATCAAAAAAATGCAATTTTTATGGGGTTCCACCATGGAAAATGGCGGTATCACCGCGGACACTGGGGACTAACGAGGATTTGTCTATGAAAATTCAGATTAAAACACAGCAGCAAGACATCAAACATGGGTGAAACTTACATTTTTTTTCAAAACAAAGGTCAACCCATAGTAAACCCAGTGATGTCAACACAAGAATAAATCAGGTTTAATCAATTTTACCATTGCAATCAGCAACAATTGGCATGTCACCATCAAAAATGGAGGTCTAAGCAGAACGGGATGAAACCACTACCCACTACCTTAATAGGGTATTCGATGTATTCGGCATGAAAACTGGGAAGTTAGCCTTGACAAATGGTGGATTTATGGTATATAATTCATTATGATATGAATGCGGTATTGGCCAATAATAATTTCAATAATAACCGGTCCCCCAATTTTACCATTTGGACCCGATTTTTGGGTGTTACGCAAAAATCGTACCCCTGCATGAACTGGGAAAGTGCCCACGTTTGGCAGATTGGAAAATGATGTAGAAAACGACACAGCCTTTAATTAAGAACATGTTTTTTGCTTAAATCCCTGCTGTTTAGTGGGTCAGATTCCATGGTTCGCAGAAGAGGGGAACATCTACAGGAAAAACTTCTCTTTGATGCGGAAAGGCCCCGGTTTTAGGATCAGGTTTCCCGGAATTTCTGCCACTCCGAATGACAAGTGTATCCCAAATGCTCAATGTATGGTATGTCTATAGCTATATCTCTATCTATATCCCTATACATATTTATATATATATATGCATAATATATATATATATGCATATATATATATGCATTATATATATGCATTATATATATATGCATTATATATGTATATGCATTATATATATATATATATGATGCATTATATATATATATGCATTATATATATATATATATGATGCATTATATATATGCATTATATATATATGCATATATGTATGCATATATATATGTATATATGTAATGACATGCATGCTTACATTTGGATCTTGTGGGACATGTTGCTACATGTTTAGGGTAAAAGAACATCAACTACATCCATCCATTGGAAATCATCCAGTCAACGAGTAGATCCATGAGAAGCCATCACCATGGCCATGGCTTATAAGGCTATATGATCATTATGTGTGAATTGAAATTCATGGAAAACAAGTGCCAGTCATAAGTTAAGCCATATAGTTTACATGGCTTTTTTGTTTCTTTCCATGTTGTTTCCTCAAACAATGTGTCTTCCGAGATCCAGTTCTGGAGGCTGTGTGCCTTTGGGGCCGCCATGTTGCCTCTGCTGATGCCGCCATGTTGGATCGATTGGCGCTGGCCACTGGGCTGCGGAGATCTGCGGAGCATCCCACAGCTCTGATGTGCAGCTACTGGTGCTGGGTTTTGTTTTCCAATGATTCATGTATATACATAATATAGTTATATATATAATATATCTATATAGACTATATATATTTATATAAATATCTCTATCTAGTTGTATTTTCTCCATGGGTTGGATGCCGCGGGGCCGAACATTCAGAACTTTGCGGTTCCAAACTGTTCATCCGCTCCGCATCGAGGCATGTGAAAGCGCTGCTCCCCAAAAGCTGCCGGGTGTTACTTGGAGGTCAAGATTGGAAGATGGGGGAGCTAATGACGCTATAATGCGCTAATGATGCTTAGTGAACTTGGTGGGTAAACATGGTTTGGTTCATGAATATAACTTCCCAAACAAAAACATGTTCAGGCCATGCAGACCTTGGAGTTCTGAAACTGTGGTTGGTTTTACTCAAGTGGGGTTTGCACATGGTCAACGGTTCTTAAGTAGTTTCTTTTAAAACACCAAGTATAAATATAGAATTATACATGTATACGGACATACATACACAGACATATGTATATTATATATATATATATTTATATGATCATATCTGTATATGCACACATTCACTGATCTCAAAATAGGTCTCGGTTGCTTAGCTGCGATTAGCTCTCTCCATTTGGGTCTCGTGGAGCATGACATCCACGCCTCGGGCTCAGGTGCCGAGAAAAAGTGGTTGAATGAACTATGGCAACTATGGTTTATGGTAGATAAATGGTATACTGTAGATATAACGAACTAGTTGGGATGAAACTAAACCAACTTATAACTGGCACCATCCGGGTTACCCTAACAAGATTGTTTTAAGCAAGCTTTTCACTTAATTTATTCAATCAAGTTCGTTGTTGCTGCCTGCTCATCTCCTTAGAATGGTAAATGGGGTTGCTGTTCAAAAAACTTCATTCTCCATTTGTTTGGATTAAACTAAACCTTGGTCTGGTGTAGACAAATTATTCATTTTGTTGGCATGAATCATGCCCTATCATGTTATTTTGGGCAGGGTATGTCAACCCAATTGCACCATGTAGGTATGATAAATTAGCATTGCTGCCTTTTTGGGGTGGGTAAATACCACTGAATCTCCCAGTCTTCAAGGTGCTGGAGCAGAGCTGCCGCGCAGGGCTGCGGGAGTTCGTGGTGAAAAGTCTGAGCCGCGGAGCCGTGGAATGATGGAATAATGATGGCGGTGGAGCGAGATTAGCCATGACAATAACAACCCATCATAATTACCCTCTGGTAAACTAACATAACTATGGAAAATCATCATTTTTAATGGGAAAATCCACTATTTCTATGGCCATTTTCAATAGCTATGTTAAATTACCAGAGGGCAATCATAATCATTATCATTATCGTCGTCGTCATCATCATCATCACCGTTAAAGAAAACATAAACAAATAAACATATAATATGTGTGATTGTTTGTCGTTTGATGTTCACTTTTCTCCTGTAATAACTATTTGGGGTCAGACATGACTCGAGCACTTGTAGGCGATGGTGATGCCACCTTGTTCTTGGCAAGAACTTAGATTTCACTGAGTCATGAAATACAATAATCATTGCTCCCAGCCAAAATGTTGAACGAAAAGAATGCCCACTGCATTCTCATGTTTACAGCAATGCAGAGACAATTCCAGTTTACCATGTGTTATTCCGGATCCATGATTTGAGATCAGAATGCCTGCTGCTCATAGAAACATAGAGAAACCACATGTCATGCTAGCCCAAGATCAACACAACCCTCATTGGTCGCTTTAGTCCAGGAAGGTCCATTCAACAGAAATTTACTTTACTTTTGCTTATTATGTTTGAAGAGGAATCGCTCATCGCTTTCAAGAATAAAAGAACATGCGCCAGTTGCAGCCCGGTAAAACATAAGTCAACACCATCCGTGCCGTGCTCGCGCTGGCTCCGTTCAGCACCGATGGAGTTAGCTTCAGCCAGTCCCATGGGTGCATAGACGTATAGCAACCCCCAACAAGATAGATGATATACAAGTTTGAAATTTAGAGATTAAAGAGAAACACCATCTATACCATTCTGGGATAATACCTGTTTATTGGGTTTGTTTCTCAATATAAGTTGAATTTCCAGTAGAACTCGGTGGGTTGGCAAGAGTATAAATCACTTGTCGTCCAGCGCGAGTGCTTCTCGCCCAAGGGGATCAGACTTGACAATAGGAATTCTTCGATTGGGATCACTCATCTCATAAGATCCATTGGGGGTCATACATTCTGCCTTCCCACACATGTTCTAGCCATTCACCAAGAATTTCATTGTACAAGAATTTGACTTGACTGTTGGTGGATCATAGGTAGTCAAGATCTTGTTACTTTTATTCGCTGCCCATTAATTACTTACATCCAGAAGCACACTTTTTTGGTAAGGCTCAGTGAAAGCCATGCATTGCAACGATTTCAACCCCGCTGATATTCCTTCTTTTCCCAGCGATTTTCCAGCGATTTTCGCCGCGCTTTTTTTCCACGCGCGCCATGGACTCCAAATCGGCCGGCCGAAGCCGCTCCTCCTGCAGCACAGTTTGCCTCGTGGCCGTCATGACGATAGCGGCTCTTCGGCCCTGGATTTCCAGCGGAAGAGGACGGAAGTGGAGACAAAAGCAAGATGGAAATTGGTAGTCATAAATGGGGGATTCATCAAAAAATGAGCATGTAAAAAAATATAAAACTGGATAGAATAGAAGTGGATATTGCTGGATGTATGCGAATGACACTGGCCTGGACATATCTGGATATTAGCTGATGAAACTGGTTTCAAACAGGTTGTTTTACGCCTATTTGCAATGACGGTTCAAATTGACTACAGTATATTTTTTTTGGGATGGGCTGAAACGACCAACCAGACAACGGTTTGGGTTTAGATGTGGATGATGTGTAGAAACCTAAAGCGAGTTGTCATCATAGAAGCTGGTTGATATGTTTGTGATTTATTGTAAACATTACCATTGATACCCGAAGTCATAGAACCGTTGAGTAATGAGATGTAATGAGCAGAGAATCCCCATTTCCGCTGATGGTCCCTGAGATATTCAAGAATCAGCATCATGATCTTCATGAAATATTGCACTACTGATTGGTTTTATCCGATTTTGCAGTATCCCGATATTTTACTGTCCTTTTCCAATCTGTGTTGGCTCATATCTCATTCTTCCAGCACTGCTTGCACTGTCTTGACTGCGCTTGCATTTTCTTGGCTATTTTCCCAGGTTGCTTGGTGAAATCTCATTGTTTGGCGCCAATTTGATCGCTCTCTTCATGCGGGTTTGTTTGACAGGGAATCCCCCAATTCAAAAGGATAAGCAATATGTCTCCTCATTCAAGATGCATGTTTGGGGCACAATCCACTTTTAGACACATCCGAACACCACATATCAAGTGGGTACCATGTATGTCCATGTATCACATAAGTTATATCCCCAGTCTATATCCCTTGGTTTGGAAAATCCCACTGTGCCGGGTGTGTTCCATCGGATTTGGTGGGTGATAGAAGGTGGTGCCCCAGTTTGAAACAGCCAATAGGTTGGGTTTATAAACCAACACACATAAATTAGCTATCTCAACTACAAATCGCGATGTTTGTTGGTTAAACACCCCAAAACTTTGTTTGATGATTTTTGCACAAAAGAAATCTGGCTGCATTCACTGCACCATTCCGCTCTAGGAGAGATGGGCGCCTGCGATTCCTTGCCGCGCTTGGTGAATTTGAGCAGCGTGGCGCGTGACGCCGTGGCACAGGCGGAGTCAGCGGGAGCCATTTGTGTATTTCACCAGGCAATTGCAATTGATGGTGATTTTCTATAGGGTTTGGTTGGTGGTTTGGAACATTTTTATTTTCCCATATATTGGGAATAATCATGCCAAGTGACTTTCATATTTTTCAGAGGGGTAGGTCAACCACCAAGCAGGGGTTTGGTTTCTTGTGCCAGGACGTTTCAGGGGTTTACTTGGATGTTTCGATTTTGGGTGGATTCCAGCATCCAAACAAGCTGATTTTCATGATCTGAGATGGGGGATGAACACATGTTACAAATTACCAATGGCGTATGCTGTATCGATGGACCAATAATCAATACAAATTCTCATTGGTAATATTTCACCATGCCAACATGAGGGGTACATACATAATATTTGAATCATATCCTTGGATTTGCTGAAGATGATTCGATTTTTCTCCATGGGAATTTCACTACTTGGGGAATCTATGGGGAATATATTTTTTTTAATGGTTCCTTAAGCAAATCCATGTATCATATCCAAAGGGGAACAGAATAGGTCAGACCACCATCTGGGACGCGGTCGTCTCCACTACGTCAGGTTTGATGTTTGATCCCAGGGTTTCCCCTCTCTTCAGAAGCCACCTCCAAAGAGATGCACTCATCCGACTACCATCTTGGGAACATATTTCGATCTATGTTTTTTGGGGTTGCTATGGAACTATGATTGATTTGCCGTCGATAAACTCGTGGTAGTAACCTATCCAAATTGCTGACCAGGTAAGAATACGTCCAGCAAAGGATGGGTTTTCATCTAGTGTTATGAGTCCAACAACACAGAGAATATAGGGTTTGACCAAAAAAAACCAGAGCAAACAAAAAAAACAAACTAGAAAACCAAAACCAAGGAAAAAACAAGAAAAAAACAAAAAAAAATCAAAACCTGCATTTTCCGCAGTTTTTTTTTTTGTTTTGTTTTTTTCTTGTTTCTTCTGGTGATTCTTCCTGTCGATTTGTTTTTTTGGTGATTATGTTTTTGTTTTTTGTTTTTTTAAACTTTTTGCTAAAATCCACTTTCTCTGTTCTACACGGGGTCATAAATCTAGTGGCACAGTGCATGTCCTTCAATATATACATATATATAATTTATGTATTTCATTTATATAGGCTGAGAACAACCGCGTACAAACATGCACAAACTACGGTAACTACGGATAATATAATACGTACAGTACTATACATATACTGTTATTTAGTGATATCTTTTTTTGCCTCCACATTTGTTCTTTTTTAAGGTACATGTGCTCTCAGCCAGTAAAACATTGGACATCACAGATGATCGGAGGGATTTCAACCCAGCCTCGAGGCAGAGAAGTTGACTGCACAGGAAGCGGATGTGTTTTGGGCGAGGTGATTGGTGGTGATTGTAAGTTCCCTGGGGACACTTGTGCTGATGAAATCTACAGTTTTTGTTTTTTTTCCTTAGGTCAACTCCAATATTTTGTGAAACTATCACCTGTTCCGGAATAAAGCCATCATTTATTCCTAATTTTGAACTAAAATGCAGATGATGCAGATTGTTGCTAATGAAATCTACACTTTTCCAGCTAAAGACCGTTCTCATACGGTAAAACTAGCTATGTATCCAAATACTTCCTAAGAAGGACCGACTTTAGTTTTCCCCCAAGCATTCAACAGGCATTTGAACCCATACTTACAAGGTGGTGCCCCCACCAGTTGTGTTTGTCTGCTCATGTTTGTTTGGACACCCCATCAATTGGTTCGATATGGTTCAATACATCAATCAATTTAGCTAACTACATAAATCAAAGAATCACCCTAAATCCATCTAAATCCCATAAAATCAGCATTAGTTCCCATGAACATGTCCCTGAAATCACTGAACTCCGCATTTCTGCTGGGTTTTTTCGACCAGGACCTGCAACTCTTGGATGTCGAAGCGGTGCTGGGCAAGGCCGTGAAACGCCTGGAGCAGGGCGGTAAGCAGCAAGCCGCAGCAGCCGAGGAGTTCGGAGTCGTGGATTTTACCATTTGTAGATCGGTTTTCCTAAGGACACCAGGGGTTTTCACCATGGTTTTCCACATTTCTTTGGGTGTTTTTTGTTGACGTGCTTTGTAGGATTCTTGATGTTTTTTTGTATATTTTACCTCAGGGTGGTCATGAAAAGTTGAGGTTTAACCTGAAAAAATGTAAGATTTGATGATGAATAAATTGAGATTTAACCTGATGTACCATCAATGAAAAAGAATGTCGAACTACCAATGGGGAAGTCAGATTTGATCATGAGCAAACTGAGCTTCAGCATGTGAACATTTGTGACTTAACCATTAAAAACAGATTAAACACCATTACATTATATATTGGATTTAAGCGCTAAAAACTAAGGATTAATCATGACTATTTTGTCTACCCTTTTGGGGGTTATATTCATGTATATCTGTATATCCAGTTAAGTTTCAAGAAGGCACGAGCGCGCAGGACCTGCGAAGAAGCACCGTGTACCAAGAGGCACCTCGGCACGGCCTGCGGAGCCTGCGGAGCCTGCGGAGCCTGCGGAGCCTGCGGAGCCTGCGGAACTGGTAATAATAATGGGAGATTGAATTACTAGTTGCTAAAGATTCATATCATTTCATATCTATGGATTTAGTGTCTTTTTGGGACTATGATCTTTGATATGTTTTAACTAGATCAATGTTTGGTAAGCTAAAGGTCTTTGGGGAATCTTAACATTTAGGGAATACTGAACATGGACACAGGGCTGCACAAGAACATGGGGCACAAAAAAGACATTGGTTGCACAGGAAGAAACATATATATCAGATATGTGTATGCGGGTCAGGTAATCAAATCCCTTTCTGTTTTATTCCTGCCATATTTTTTTATATACTTTTAAAAGTTTTAGACGCTCGGCTTTCCTTGCCTACTAGAAAGTAGTCGCAATCCACATATCTATTGATGACCGATAGGTATGAAATTGTAACGTAGGTTGTGCTTCCAATATGATTTTATATTTTTTTATGCGATGACAAGCGTTATTACAATAGCACCTACCCGAGAGACTCTGTTGATTGACTGGAAATGTAAATTTCGATACATCTTCACTCATTTTTTTGTTTCAAATCCCATATTCATCCATATTCCATCTACTCTGGGATGATTATAGTATATTATAGTTATATATATATATAGATAGATAGATAGAACCCCCAGCAAGGTACAAGAGTAATATTTACTACTAGTAGTTAGTGGCTCACCCCGGTTAGTTGGACATTGCCCAAATACTTCCCCTCAGCGATAGAGAAGCCACGGCAGGTGCTCCGCTACTCCCAGCTCTTTGACTCTGCCAGGGCCACGCTGCAACCCACCAGGACAGTGGGACACCCATGAGGAAGGGCATTGTGTCATGTGCCATTTGAAGATGACCATCTACACCCACAAACACACACAGAGATGATTATTATATATAATTACATATATATATATTAAATATATATATAATATATATATATATATAAATATGTACGCACACATGATTTTCCCATATATTGGCATTGAAATCTCAAATCTGTATTCATTTATTGTGTTTCTTGATGTTCTCAAAGATTGATTCCCACCGCAGAAGCTCCGAGAAAAAAAAATGCGGGCTTCAGTCCGATCTTGCCCTTTTTGTTGCCCCGCAGAAAAGCAGTATATATATATATATATATGAGTTGGCCTGAAGAAGGCGTGACCAACCAAACATCAGTTCTAGAATGTTATATATATATATTTATTATATATATATATATTTATAATGTTTATACCCTTGGGCAATCAAACGTGGCTAGCGAGGAAATACCCTAGATATAAATGGGAGATGTTCCATTGCCATGATGAACATTTCCGGAGGCTATGTACCGCTGAACTTAGCCCAAATCTATTGCGAAGATGTTACCTCCTTGAATACCTTGTGGTATGAAGATATCCTATCAGGTGGTTCTATGCTAGATGGTTTGCAATACCTACAGGCTATGGTAATAACATGATTTCCGTCACTGTTGTTCTTTTGAGAGGTTGGATCCTGATATTTCAACATGAAACAGTTTATACAAATTGTTAGTGGATTCAAACTGTTTTCTCGCGTTCAACCTTGTTTGGGATGAGTTGAAGCGACACATTTTTTCAGCGGGTTGAAAACCACCAGCCAGACATGTTCCGTGAGGAGGCTGTTGACCAGTTTTTGGGTAATGTTTCGCACATGAAATGATTCGAAATGGACAAGTTTCCCCCAGTTGATTCAGGAAAAAATGTTGCGACATGATGTCTTTAGACCATGTAAAACTGATTTAGATGGGCGGGATGGGTGTTTTGCCGCTAGGTTCCCTCCAGGGTTGAACCTCAGAACATACTGCAACAAGCATCCCACTGAGTGCGAAGTGCGCTTAGTTATCAAGTCCATTGACCAGAAGCTCCTTGGTTTCTGACACTTAATTTAAATGGTGGTTGCTGAATGAAACACGGTTCTTGCATATATAGCGTCAAATTATATTTATATATATATATGTACATATTATACATAACACACACACATATATATATATATATATATGTGTGTGTGTGCGCGTTCAACACATCAACACAGAGCACATATTTTTCGTGCACTTGAAATGCATCAGATCACTGGGCCGCCTGGGGAGGTTCAAACGCGTTTGGTCCCGCGATGATGCGGAGTTCTTCGTTCGCAGCGCACCGGGCGCCACGTGGTTTGAATACAAGGCGGGAGCCGACGTTGCTGGGCATCCCTGAGATGGTGACTGGGAAATAAGCCATGGTGGGGATCATATATGTGTATAAATCTGTCACATATGAATTATAATTCATAACAAGTATACTGCATCTATAATTCTAAAAAAAAAATATAGGAAAAAACACACACATATATATATATATATTATATACATATATATACATGTCAATGTCATGGGGTGGGTGCTTATGTTGTGACCTTTTTGGTAAACCTGGGATGCACATCGATTTCGATCAGATGGGCAAATCTGGATCCCCGGAGTCGAGGGCCTAGCGGCCTACCCCCTTGGGAGCAGGCCCCCAACCAAACATAACTCTTGCAATCAATCTATATAGTGATAAATAGTGTGTGATTATACTTTGGTTCTATGATATATATATATATATAATATATATATACATATAATATATATAATATATATATATACAAGTGTATATTCATCTAAGATATCTCATACCATGGGAATCTACACTTTTCTATCCTAGAACTAGACTAAATAGACGTTAAGTAGACGTTAATGTCGTTTCACATTTTCCCTGGCGCTGCCGCAGATCGTTGCACAGATCGATCAGAGCCTGGTGAACTGCATGGCGCCGCTGTGCCTGGGCTCTGATGATGGGAAAATTTACAGGAATCCCATGGAAGCCCCTGTATTTGACGGTAAAAACGTGTAAAAACCCATGGGTTTCCGGTTAAGATTTTCATAGATTTCCCAACAAAACCAATCCATTGATGAATGTGATTTACTGGGATTTTATGAAAACTAGGGCTTAAATGGCATGGCCGAAGGTCCGTGTGGAGCATGTGATTTCATGGGATTTTAGTTGGAGATCATGTGACTTTGAGGTACTTGTAAGGGAATCAACGGGATGATAAATGGGAGATGTCTAACCAACTACCCTCTGGCAAACATACAAACAGCTATGGAACATCACCATTTTTAATGGGTAAATCCACTATACATGGTCATTTTCAATAGCTATGTTAAATTACCAGAGGGTATATATGTTGTTTATTGGCCTTTAATAAATTTGACAGTATGCAAATGGGAGATCACCATGTTTATATATATATAAAGATGCTTAACAAGTAAATCATCGAACTAAACGGGCGGTTTTCTGCCGCTGTGCCACTGTGTTAGATTGCCGGAGGGCATTTTACTGTAAATGGATTTGTCGGAAAAATAGGTTGTAGTGGAGAACATGATGATGAACTATCAAAATGTGGGTTGCATTTTTTCAGTGAAAGCCAAATGTACTGTTATTTGGAGCATGTGTGTGTGTACATGCAAACATGTTCAGTCTAATTGATATGTGTTGTTTGCTGCCAAGCTGATTCTATATATTGCAGACAACTTGCTGATGCCCATATTCCCATGTTTGACCAAGTTGGTATAAACTATATTGAAGCAGGGAATTTATAGATTCCCAACCATTTATAACCAGTTATCTATCTCGTCATGTTGGTCACATGTGTTTTCCTTGCCACTCTCTTGGGACAACCTGTGGGACCCTGGGCGTCAGGCATGAGAGAGAACTCATCCTCAAGTATCAACCTGTCTTTGTGGAGCCCCATCGTGGTTTGGTTGCACATGGGGATATGACGTTTGATGAAGTTCTGATTGATAGAAAGGAGGTAAACGGAGCCATGGATGTCCATATTCCCGGAATCAAGGGAGCATTGGTAGCAACAGCTTTTGATACCGATGGTTGGTGTTCGCACGGTCAAGTTGTTTCTGTTCTAGGCCTCATCGCAGGAACATGTTGGACTAATTATCAATCATTATAACAAACAAACAGGTCCTGTTGTTCTTATTTGCGGCAATATGTCTAGATGAATTAATTATAATGAAATTACTGGAATGCAAGTTTCAGCTCTTTTCAGGTTAGGTAATTATTGCAATTAATATCAATTAATTCAACCATAATAATATTAATGCCAAGTTCGTGTTAATAACTACCCCAAAAGCTGATAAAAGCTGTAGATCCATGAGAAGGTTTTCACCCTCAAATATAATGAACAGCACAACCCACCTGGAGGGGTACCCTTGAAGAGCTTCTCAAAATGCATGTTTTAACACGAAAGTAATAAGGAAAATTATGGAAAATGCATGTTCTGTCATTCAGAAATTGATTCTGTGCCTTGAATCTCTTCAATATATCTCTATGATTGATATACTGTATGTATTTTTTTAAGAACAAAACATATAACTATTATAAAGAATCTGCTCCATTGACTTTAAATCATCAGGTCAGAAACATCAGAACCAAATCACTTTCTCACCACCAAACAAAATGATTTTTCCGAAGAATGTTTTTGAATAGGGGGTGAACAGCCATGTTGATGAATAAGGAGGGACCAACCCAAAGTAGTATTGCCAAACATTTTTTGGACTGTGGGACTGTGGGTGTTGATTAATCCGGGTGTCTCGTCGTTGGTTCATCACAGCAACCCCATCCGGTCGTGCTACTCCAGTGCCAGGAAAATTCCATGAAGGTTGACATGTTCATGTACCAAAAAGTTCATGGTCTCAACATGATTCAAAGTTTACCCGCGTCAATCCCTTTTTCACAACATGACTCTTTCCATCGAAACATCTCAACAGCCTTTTGTATCTTTTTTTTTGTAGAGTTAATTTGCTCCTTTCCCCATTTTTTAACTGGTTGGTGGTTTGGAACATTGCTTTTATTTTCATTCAGTTGGGAATGTCATCATCCCAACTGACTCATATTTTTCAGAGGGGTAGGTATACCACCAACCAGTGATGTTAGTTTCCCACTAAGAGTGGTTAATTATGATGGCTAGTAGTGGTTAATGAATGTTAATGATGGTTTATAATGTTAATAAACCATGTCTTTTGTCCCACTGCACCCAACCTGGGAATGTCGGTGAGGTGATCTGATTAAACCCACGGCGCACCACGCTGTGGTGCGGACTTTGGCGCGGATCTTGGGCTTTTACATCGAGACGGTCTTCGAACTCGTGCGCATCTCCAACAAGGACGGGATCCCGGCCTGGTAAACCTACCAAAAGCTATGGAAAATGGCCATTGATAGTGGATTTACCCATTCAAAATAGTGATTTTCCATAGTTATGTAAACGTAGAAACCAGAGGGTATGATGGGATGATGGAGCCAACCGTTGTGAAAAAAGGATGAACAACGATGAAAGATACTGGTTTTACCCATTCACAATGTTGGTTTAAGATGGTTTGACTAGATCTGAACCTGTCAAACATGAAAAAAACAAGGTGGGCTGAGAGGTTTACCATTCAAACTGCTGATTTCACTGGACAGGCTTCACAAATCAAACGTGTTGGGGACGGCGGAATCGGGGGGAAGAAATCCTTGGGAGAAAATTTGACGCTGTACTGCCTTTGCTGATTTGTTTGCGCAAGATTTGAAAAGAAGATCATCAAGCAACATCATTTTTCTTTCCAGGTTGAATTCCCAGCATTCTTTTGCGGCTTTTCCTCTGATCTTTCCCAGGACTTTGGTTACCTCGTGGCGTGCTTGAAGTGTTGGAATGGGATGCGCTGATGGCTGCGAAACTCCAACGGTTTACACCTTTAGTAGCAGGTTGGTACAGCTGAGATTGAATGACTGTCAGTTCAAGTCAGAAGTTGTTGATTTTATTTGGCAATCATAATGTGCTAGCACGTCAGTAACTGTGGATGGTTGCGAAATACTGCAGCACCTTGAATGGTTGAAACCCTATAAATGGTATTTTTATCACCAACTGGTGCAGGATTTCTTCCCTCGACCGGATAATACTATGGGTTTAAGAACGATAATCATCACCATGAACAAAGTTAACTATGTAATGATTTTGTGTTATATATTTATTTTGTTTTTAAATAGTATTCTATGTAATGTAAGATTATTGCTTATGTATATTTATATATATATATGTATATATTATACATTTTTAATAGCATTAGCGTGGTTACTATATGCAGGGGTTTAGGTCAGTCACTACGATACCATCCCTGAAGCTACCCTTGGCTGAATTGCTGAAAAGCTCCATAGCCTTTGTGGCCTCCATGCAACCACACAGACTGTTAGATATGGACTGTGGAACAGATACAAATATGTATATATATATATATACACAAACATATATATATATATATGCATATGAGTGTGCAATTGTATATATATATATAAATTGTTTAATTACATGTATAATATACTAATATGTATATATTCTATACATATGGTGTTCAGTTTATCATCAAGCCCAAAAAAACACACACACCAAAGAACTCCAGTGCTTTTATCGGTGGCAGCCACCGGCCTTAATTAGGTGGAGATTGCGAAGAGCGATTTCCCGGTGAAGGACCGGTTGAAGCTGCCGAAACGGCCCTTCTGGAGCAAGCGAATTCAGGTGGATACCAAGATCCTTGGCCAAGGTGGAACAGCTAATTATTCACGGTGATGATAAGCTGGTGAGAAGCCCCCAAGAAACATGGAGATTTCAACAGAACTGGTGAAAACAACATGAATGTAACAGGATTTCACCAAGAAACATGGGAATTTATGGTTTTTATTAGCCGCTGTGTGATAGCTTGAGTTGGTTCATAAGATGAATTCTATCGCATGGTGGTCGATTTATACAGCAACAGAAACCACCACCTTGACGAGTCCACCAGTTCTCTTGTTGGACGTTTCCCAGCAGTGCACTGATGGTAACCAGTCCCTATATGATGACATCCCCATCATCCTGGTTTTATACGCATACATATAATTACTGTACTTTTATGTAATTATTTATGTTATGCATATATCACCTATGTTATTTAATGTTATTTTTTATTTATTATACATATGGGCATAAATCACCAGGTTTACCACAGATATATATGTACCTCGGCTGAGGAATCTCTGGTTGCCCGTGGGTGGCGGTGAGACTGGTACCATTGTGGTGTCTGTCAGTCGCGTGCAGGTTGGATGGGAGGTCCATCGAAGGTACCAATGGTGAAATTTAATGGTGCTTCATTGTGATTGAAACATCCAAACTGGGGGATGCCAAGTTTTAGAACCAAAGTTTCGACTTTTTGGAGGCATTTGAACTAGAGCCATACAAAGTTTTACGACAATTAACATAAAAAAAAAAAAAACATTTCTTGCTGCATTGCTCTCACATGCCAAAAAATCCGCCAAGCCGTTTGCTTCCGGGTGCTCCTCTGGGAGCAGGTTGACATCTTACTGATGACAATGACAATGTCTCGTAGTAGCAACCTGGTGCAGGTTGGAGTGCCCATTCCTTCCAAAGCCCTGAGATTTTTAGCCAACAGCTACTGGACGGCAATGCTGGGGTCGGTGTAGGTGCTATTTCCCCGAGCAGCTTTCAGCAGATCAAATGAGAAGGTAATGCGATAACGACGATAACATCATTCATCCCATTCATGGCTAGTATGACCATATACTGTAACTAATTGTATTTATATGATTTATGTTAAACTATATTGATGTACTCCAACAATCAATCATCCGTATTGTGGCTATTTGTATTGAGATACTCCATTGCACTCCGCCAGACGCCAAGGTCGGTAAGGCTTTCCTTAAACCAACCCATTGGTTGTGACAGTACCCTCCACTCAACAAGATTCACCATGAACGTAAGTCATTTCAGAACGAAGCCAGCGAACCACATTTAACTTCATATTTTGATGCTCAACCTTCACATTATCAGCATATTCAGCATATTCCCATGATTTTCCCATGATCTTCCCATTCAACCCCTGTCGATTTTCCTCTAAAAAACACCGACAGTTTCACACCTGGACACCCAGGTTTCACCAAAAGCATCCTGGGCAACATCAAGCGCGGGTGCGCCCTGAGCTCCGATGCACCTTGGACCATGGCGCCGTTTGGCTGGGTTTTTTTTTCATGGTGTTTATACCATGGGCAAAACCATGGGTAAAACCCATGGTTTTTCCGGGAGATTTTTTAGTCCAAAAAAAAACCATTGAAATGAACATTGGCCAGAAAAAACACCTGGTCGACTAAACCAAGGGGGATTTGATGGAGTTTAATGGGATCTTACGAATGTTTAATATGATGATGGGGTGATGAGGATCCCACTGGTTGAGCAACTGCTAGGCTTCCTCCAATGTAAACGAATAGGTAGATGATAGTCAAGCATAGGCCAGTCACCGGCCCCGATTCCTACAAGGAAAACATTAGATTTTTGTAAAACTTGGATTGTTTGATCGAAGAGAACATCTAGGGGAAAATGCCAAACACAAGCTTTTGGAGATTTGAAATTGTATATTCATGTGGCTGAACCAAGTGTAGCTTGGTCCAATAGTTTCCATCCTGGTTTGGAATCATGTCCTATAGTTCTACGCCCTATGTTGTTGTTGTTTTTTTTGCACGGAACGTTTAAGAGCCTCCAGGTACCCTCCAATTATATTAACATATATAACATATAGGATATAACACATACACACATATATATATATATACATATATGTGTGTGTGTCCGCCCTCCGAGAAATCATAATTGATTTGGAAAGCTATGAATGCAGGTATCATTAACCATTATTTTGGCTAGCATTAAGCATTGTTAAACCTACAGAATGAGGCCCAGTTGTTAGGTTTTCTCACCATAAACCATCAGTCAGCCATTTTGTAAACCATTACCATTACTTATTAACCATTGTTAACCTACTAAATCTACATAAATGTTGGCATTATAAACCATTAACCGTTGGTTTATGCCATTATTAACCAGTGTTGGTTTTTACCGTTACTTATTAACCATAGTTAAACCTACTGAATCTACAGAATCAATGTTAAACATAGCCATTTGTTTAAACCATTGTTATAGACCATTGTTTAACAATCTGTAGGTTATTATTTTTAACCACAATCATTGTTTAACCAATGGTCAATCATCATCAATCATCTATATCATTGTTTAGCCAATGGTCAATGATAATCTGTTATAATAGGTTATTACCTACAGGTTTAATGTTATTGGCTTAACCATTGTTATTATAAACCATTACAGGTTCTTAACCATAGTCATTATTATTAACCATAATCATTGTTAAATAACCATTATTAAACCATTGTTATTAACCATTGTTATATAACCATTGTTAAGCCTTGTTATTACATCTGCAAAAAAATCCTGGGAAAGTTCCGGGCGAATCTGTGCAGGAGACCAGCCCCTGGCACAAGCGCATCAAGCGCGATGCCGATGGCTTTTACCGGGAGCTCTCCGGAGTCGAGGACGGAGAACGAGTTCTGTTTATCCAACAAAAAGGGTCCTACTTCAATGGGGATATATTGATTTACCCTCTGGTGAACTAACATAGCAATTGAAAATGGCCATTTATAGTGGATTTTCCCATTAAAAATGGTGATTTTCCATTGCTATGTTAAATTACCAGAGGGTAATGTGATTTTTATAAAGGGATATTCTAATGGGAATGTATTCGGATTTTTTTGCGAAACATAGAACTCTAAGGAAAATCGAAAGTTGTTTGGAGTCTTGGTACGGCGTTGTCATTACATGGTGATTAATCAGTCATCTATTGGGGAGGTAACCGTCAGCAATGCGGATAGCACATGATAGCACTGGATAGTTCATTTGATAATTTGATATGCCTGGGGATGAACATAAATTAGCAATCTCCCTGGTTTAGCTCGGGTTCACTGGAGGTACAAGTATAACTGGCTAGGTTCAGAAACCAACTTATCACCAGGGGCACGGGGGTACCACCTCAATGAGGGGCCTACCATTCCCTCGGTCCGCGGGGCACACGTCTTGGGATGTTGCCATGAAACTTGCCCAAGTTACAGGAAAGCCCCATCATCATGATATCTTCGTATATCCAACATACATCCCATCTATCATCATCTAAGTGATACATCCATTTTTCCCATCTGGGAATCTGAAGGGGCCCCGTTTTTGCACCGCAAAGACGTGGCCATTTTTCTTCCCCAGGAGTCAGCCCGAAAGCGGCGACAAATTTCCATCTCGGAGTTGCCTTCTGAAGACATTTTCGATCGCCCATGGAGCCTTCAATAGATGGGAAAGGGAGGGCTGCCACAGGATTGGCGTTTTCTGGTGAGTATCAAAAACCCACGAACTATCCCAAGTATAAGTATAATCATGTATAATCTACTACCTAGTTAACTAACTCCGCGGCCCAATTTAGGTAATCATGTAGCTTCTGGCGGCTCCGTTGGAGAGTTTGGAGGTCCCAGATGGTCCCAGTACTTGGTATTCAAACCTCGACAAAGCCATTGATCACACAATGATGGATATCATATCAGGATTATCAGGGTCAAACAATCAGTATTCATGATTTCATGTGGATCAACCCAGCATAGAGACTGTACAACACGGTCAATATCGCACCTCCCCTTCCCATACACCGCGTGGGTGGCCCTGCGTGGGCGAATCCACCACGGAACGTGCAGATCGGCAGCGCAAAGAAGGCATGCCATAGCCAGAGTCCAAGTGTCACCTGGTACCTGAAGATATGGCCTTCTTTCAATAGAATAGGGACAATGATTACAGACACACCCATGTTGTATTATTTTGTCATGTTCAATGTTGGGAGGGGTTGTTCCAAAAAGACAAGGAACAATAACTGGATTTGGACTCTTAGACCGAAGGAGGCCAGGCTTAGGAAAGAGGTGATTTGCTGTTTCTGACTGGTTGGTACACATGTTTCACATCTTCCACCCGAAATGCCAGAAGATCATTGCCCAGATAAAGCAGAATTCAAGGAAAGTGGGACATAGTAGGACCAACAAGCAGATAAGTAGGCTGAACCTGAAGACACAGGCTGTTCCTCACGATCATCCCCCTCAGATCAGGTCCCAGGTAACCAACGGTATGTCGTTTTCCCAGTCTGAATGCACATTAATACAGGCACATACAGGCACAGCAAACTTCAGAATGAACTCAACGTTGAACTGTAACTCTGTTATAGAATGGACTCAACATTTTGACGGATAAATCATATGGGATATCAATCTGCCTGCAGAATCAATGTTGAAACATGTTGCCACAAGAGATGTCACAGTGCCACACATTTGATGCTGCTGGTCGGTTCGTCTTTTGAATGCCACAAGCTGCTGCGAATTGCCATGGTTCCGTCCCGCCAAAAATGGGATTGTTACAGGGTAATCATTCAGCAATCATCCAATAACCGAGATATACTGGTTTGAATTATGCGTGGTTTTACACCAATGGTTATAGCCATAGCCGGGTAATACATAGCCTGAGTTAGTATGGGATTGTCATTGCCATAACTCAAGCTATCAACACATGCACCAAGATGCGTTCGTTTTGGACATAGCATCATTTTCACGCACTTAGAGCATCCAAATTTTCATGGAATAAACATAACACAACATAGATTACTACCTGGTTTGTAGTGTCAAAATGTTTAAACCGCTCCAAGCAAATCCATACCAGAGCAATGCTGATCCCACCTGAGTTCATCAGCCGTCAGCCAGTTCTTCAGCTGTAACCAGGATGGCTGGTGAATCACATGAAGTACCTCCAGTGGCCTGGAAAAATCAAAAAATCACGTAAGTTCGATGGCCTAAAGCGAGGTTTCTTGGGGGCTATTTTATGTAAAATATCGAAAGAAATAGCGCGGACGATTTTATGCTCTTCCTGTGGATTTTGGGAAGTTGATGGTCGCGAACGGGCAACCATGGCCCTTCGAACGTGGAATCAGACTAGCTGTTTGGCCCAATTGGGCCGCGCCCGTGACAGCAGATCAAATCGCCACTGTTAAAAAGTTCAACGCTTCGGACCCAACGCGGTTATGGTGTCCCATCTTGGATCATGCAGATATGGAGATGTGCTCGGTTCATTAGAATTGTGATAGGTACATAACATGATAAGTTTCCGAATTGCCAAGAGTTTCCAAGTCTACTCTATCAACGGTTGATGTTGTGCATCATGGAGGTCGGTGGGATGGCTGGGAAGCGGAAACCAACCAATGTTCTGCAGTGTTTGCCCTGGTTTTTCTATGTTTTTCTTGGCCCATCCAACTGTAGATATCTCTACCGTCTCTGCCATTGTTTTATGATTTTACTTGACAAATCTAGCTTACCTATTTGCGAGTGCCGTTTTGTAGATGATTAAATGCTTTAGTTTGCGGGGAAATCTTCACTGGAAACCATGGTCCAATGGTTCTTCCATTGATTTTCCAATGATGGAGGTTTCCTGGCTTGTTTCCTTCAAACCAATTTCGGGATGGATATTATTTGTCAATATACAGTGTGAACTGCATGTATGTATACAACTAGGCTACATGCACATTTGTATTTCTCAGATAGTCCCGTGAGAACAGGGGAAGATGAACAACATTTGGATAGATTTGTGGGGTGCATAATTTCATTGTGCTCAGGGCTGTGTCGTGAGTCCACTTGAATTGCTCCAGGGCTGATGGGTTCGGTGGAATTCCGTGGGGTTCAGGGAAAGATGTGTAACTGGCTTAAAGGAAGCACCGTGTCAAGTTATATACGTGAGTTTTCAAAATGGATGGTGTGTATTATATATATATATATACATGTTTCGGGTATCTTACATGAAGACCATAACTAGTAACCAGGGTCAGCCTCAAGTAGAAGTTTCCTAAATGGAGGTACCCCAAATCATCGAAGTCATTAGTTCATTTTACTTTTGAAACCCATGGTGACTTGGGAATCCCATTTTAAGAAATCCCCACAGGATGGTGCCCCCCAGTGATAAGTTGGTTTATAACCCCATCTAAATATAACTATAAGTATCATGCACTATTGTTATCATAGTTATAAACCAACTTAGCTAGCTATGGGGCCCCATCCTGCAAGTATGCACTATATTTTCCATCAGATGGTTGAAACCACCAACCAGTTATTGTCTTACCATGTCTTACCCACATTAATAGGGATCATGGGCTGATCCATTAGGGGAAATCCCACATTAATAGGGAGCTCATGGACATTTGGCTATGGATCAATACCTATGAAAATACAATTTTTAGGGGGTTATTCACATCCATTTACCAGCTATTTTGATGTGAACATCAGGGGTACAAGGTTTTGACACACTGCCATTTATCTTTCCATCTATCTTCGGCTCTCAGTGCGACTTTGACTCCGGCTATCTCCGGCTCCTTCGCAGCGATGTATTCCACACCCTCCACGCCGGGGGGCGCCCTTGCCGCTGGCTACGCGCCGGGGTCACCTTTCAGTTCTGCCGGGGTCCACAGAGGTGCCGATATAGGCTGGCCAGAGTAAGCCCCAAAATCCTTCCAATGAAAAGATAGAAAGGGTGAACATTGCAATTTTTTTTGGATGCGTTTTTGCCTTTTTCTCATTATTTTGGGGTTGTAGATGCATAACTGTGTAAGAAACAAACATGCGGCTGAAAACAGCATATGCAGTGATGTACAGTAATTAGTTTTTGATAAATCTATCATCAGTGCAATCATGTTTGCTTCATGCGGTAATATGTGCAAGGATAAAAATTGAAAGTGCATTCTAAACTTCTAAACATACTTCAATTCACTTTGGGGCCCACTTAAACTTGCGATTTTGCATGATTTAACCATCGGTTGCCGCTCCAACCATAGCTGGATCAGTTGGATCCCGATAAAGATCGGACGTAGCCGGGCTATATGGTATTTCCATGGGGATTTCCATAGGGATTTCCATGGTTAATAATGGTTAGTAATGGTTAATAATGATCTGGTTGATGGTTTCAACCATCTTGAAAAATATGAGTTCGTCAATGGGAAGGATGACATTCCATATATGAAATGGAAAATAAAATCCATGTTTGAAACCACCAAGCCGTTATTATTTGACCGCTATGAATCGTTATAACCATCAGATAATGTGGGTTAAACCATATTGAACCATGAGATGGTTGTAACTGTTCAATGATGTTTGACTAGTAAAACATATCAGCACCATTTAACACCATTTACTCAGTAAACCCAGATATTACCCTTCAACGTTGAGATGTAGAGAAGCTTAAGCCGGGAAAGCTGCATGACGAATGTGGACTTCTGGGAGAACGGTGACGTCTGGGTAAATTTCATCACGACCTCACTGCGACCGAACCCTGGAATCATGGTTTTCATAAGGGAAATCACCCCCAAATGGCCGAACTATTCAGGTTAGTGAAATATTACAATTTACCCAATGTGCAGTACACGCATGTTGAATCTATTTTTTTTTACACTACATAATATGCATATGTACTGACATTATTCGGTGCCGAATTGAAGTGGTCATATCCCAAAACTGGTCAACTCCTCACATATACATATATATATATATGTTTCTCGTGGTTGCATGCGCAATTGTTGTGGCTGGAACTTCCAATCTATTTTTGAACATCATTAAACAAATAACGTCTTATAGTACGTCTCACAACACGAGGCATATTATTTATACATCCGTGTGTAGCCACCAGAAGTCCTATTTAGCCTTGCCTATCAAAACCATACAAAGTTCGGCAGTTTTAGTGCCTAAATCGCCTATGCATGCTTAGACATGGTGAAATGTCATGAAATACGACATGACCCGCGTTCAAAAAACCTGTTGACTCATTATTGTAGGGTTTTGTATATCTTGGGGTATATCATCATATCATCATCCACTATAGGAGTCCCTACGAACCAACCACCTGCCACGACCATCATCCAAGGTCCGCAGCGACCGCAGCCGCGGAGCGGTGATGCCGGCGCGTTCCGGAGCAGCGGAGCAGCACATGCAGTTGGTGCGACAGGCGGCACTTTACGGAAAGCTTGGGGTGGTTGTAGCATCATCCCACGTAGCAACTGGTTTGAAACCATAGTTGATCATAGTTGTAAGATGTTGTAAGTCATTTGTAAATGGAATACAGTGAATGGGGACTTACTAACTGGGCTCATTACGCTTGTGAAAGTGATTGTACAGTAGGTGGTTGGTAATTGGTAAGAGCTTAAATCGAAATTGTAGGTAATAGACAAACACTTTATCAAAACCAAATATTTCTGTTCTTTCCAAAATTAAACACACCCCAAGACACCATGGTTTGGTATTGGATCTCTTCATTTTCAGGCCCCTT